GGGAGCCTGCTCGGCCGGCTCCGAGGGCCTGCTCGCCCCGCCCGTCCCCTGGGCCTCCCAGGGCCTAGAAACTCAGTCTGCAGTGTCACCGGGGTCTTTGTTCTCGCGAAAGCCTCTTTTAAAAATGGTGCTGGAAAAACTGGCTCTTCACATGCTGAAGACTAAAACTAGATCCACACCTATCACCATTCATCAAAATAAATTTAAAATGGCTTAAAGTTCTAAATATTAAAACAGAAATATGAGATCTACTTCAAAGTATCAATAACTGGGATCCCATCTTATCAAAAAGTTTTTGCATCAAATTACAAGAGTGAAAAGAAAACCCTTGAATTAGGAGCAAATTTTAGCCAAATTTTAGTCTGTCCCTCAGACAAAGGACTTCTACCTCAGACATATGAAAAATTAAAAAAATTAGGCCCCCAAACTTCAAAGACCCAATCCAAAAATGAGCATCTGAGATGAACACACACTTCTCTGATAAAGAATTACAAATGGCAAATAAATATATGAATAAATGCTCAACATCATTAGTCATCAAAGAAATTAAAATTAAAGTAACACTGAAATTCCATCTTGACCCAAAAAGCATAGCTATCTTCAAGAAATTAACCAATCATAAATGCTGGAGAGGCTGTGGGGAGAAAGAAACATTTCTCCATTACTAGTAGGAGTGTAGACTGGTGCAACCACCGTGGAAATCAGTCTGGAGATTCCTAAGTAAATTAGGATTAGGGGTTCCATTCAACAAAGCTATTCCTCCCCTGGATATTTACCAGAAGAACTGAAAACATCATACCACAGTGATATATGTGCACCCATGTTTATCACAGTAGAATTTGTAATAGCTAAATCTTGGGAACAACCCAAATGTCCACCAGATGAGGAATGGATAAAAAAGCTGTGGTATTTTTATACATTGGAGTATTACTTAGGTATGAAGAAAAATGAACTCAAGGCTTTTGTAGATAAATGGATGAAACTACAGACCATACTCATAATTGAAATAAATCAGACCTTCATGTGTAAACATTGCATTGCTTCCCTAGTGTAAAAACCTGAAAGAATGAATGGAATCTGAAACATGCATTAGGTATTTTAAGGGGAGAGAGACTTCTCAAATGGGAAGGAATGGCTGGGATGAGGGAAAAGAAAAAAAAAAACAAGAAGGGAAAAAAATTATATTTACATACACAAGATACCTAGGATAATTGTACTATTAATCTCTATTGTTTTATTGAAGGGAACAATTAATGTAATTGTTTGATCAATCTTACATACCTTTATCTGGTTATCTGAGTAACTATTTGAAGATAACAATATGTAATATAACAACCTTTGTTAATTTCTTAGCACCTTGTTTTGAAATTCTGTACCATTTTTACTGTTTTCATGTTGTTTTGTTTTTGTCTTAGTTTTTGTTGTTTTGTTTTTGATATGTTCTCTTTAAAATTAAAAAGAAAAAATATATATGTATATACAACAATAGCTGAGGTAAGTGTATTGCTAATGTGTATTGGTTTATTGAAAGGAATAGTTAATACTTAATTTTTTTTCTTTTTCTTGACCAAGTTTTTGTGCTTATATCTAGTAATCAGAACAACTAATTTGAAGACAATATGCAATATAACAACAATTGCTGAATTCCTACCATCTTGTTTAATGAAGCCCTGTATTTTTTCTCAATTTTAAAATTACTTGTTATTGTCTTTAAGTTTTTGACCAATCTTGCATTCTTATACCTGGTAATTGGAACAAACTGGTGAAGGTAACAATACGTAATATAACAACCATTGTTAATTCCTATCATCTTCTGTTGAAATCCTGTATCTTTTTTATTGTTCTTGTATTGTTTTGTTTTTGTCTTCAGTGTTGTTTTGTTACTTTTTTCCCTTTATCTTTAAAATAAAAAAATAAAATAAGAAAAAGTTAAATAATGAAATATTCAAATTACTAAAGCAATGTGATTATTTGGATAAAAAAGAGACTAGCAACCACTCTAAATATAAAATGTAAAGGAGAAAAAGTTAAAAACAAGGCAAGAATAAGATAACAGTTTCCATCTATGAAACAAGAGATTGCCTTTGCTGGAAAATTTTACAATAATTATGGGAAACATTATCTTCTTTTATTTTTGATGAAGCAGTTTTCAAAAATTGCCTTAAATTATGATGTGCAGAGGTGCCTAATAGTGGTTGCATTTAGAGTTGTGCAAAGTTGTCTGATGAGAAGAGAGTATTTCAAATACAAATAAAAGTCTCAGGAAATAAAGAACAAAAGAAGACAAAAGTGAGGGGAAAGGTGATCATGGGATGGTGCTGGCATTTAGGGCGTAAAAGTAAGGCAGAGGTAGCTTTAACATTAGTGTAGCTTTCTGACAGCTTCTCATCACTCACTACCCCTCACTCGTTTTTTCATTGTCTTTCCTTTATTTCTTCCTTCTTTCTCTATCCTCTCCATTGCCTGGGTCACTTGGGAAAGTCTAGCACTGATGCAAACAATGCTGAGCGAGCCATTTGCCTTCCAAGGAGAGCTGGCTGTGCATGAGAATTTGTCTTAGTCATTCAGAGACAAGGTCAGCCATGCATCCAGCAACCTGGCTCCACACTCAGTAGGAAAAAGAGTAGGCATTTGGGGGATGTTGATACCATTCCGCCCTTTAAGGGAAGGATGGTTAAGGCTGGTGGTCTAAGTAATTGCTCAAGGAGATAATGACTTACTGGGTTTGATAAAGGAAAGAGTGGCATCTCGTTCTTAGGTACATGCCTGCCATGCTGGGAAAGATGACTTAAGATGCCACTGGACATATTTAAATCCATGCCAGCATGGTTATGTTTTTTTCTCTCTAAAATAAAAATTAATTAATTAATTAATTATGTCCATGTCATATCTGTGTCCTAACCATGGTTAGACTATTCAGTAAATCTCATGCACTACAATAGAGTGTGTACTGTTTGTATGATATTGTGAAATTTATCTCACAAATGGGTGGCATTCAGCAATAGTTCTGAGGATTCATTAGACTTTATAGCATTCCTGTAAAGATTAATAGAAATCTAACTTGCATTCCCATCATGTAAACCGATTGTCACTTGCACTCTAAAATAAGCTGTTTTCTTATTTGCTAGGGTGTTTTCTGTTCCTTGTGACAAACATGGATAGCAATTCTTAATGGTCATGATAAATTGTTGTAGGGTTTTCTATTAAATGAAATAAAGAAACTTTGACAAATTGTTAATGCTTTGACACAGCTAAAGAGTTTTTATTTTAAAAAACGTGACAACTTATATCGAAGCATGCATTAAAAAGCCATAAAATTAAAACAGGTTTCCATAGTGTGGATCTTTAACCACAGCCTTAGAAATGGAGGAAAAGAATACAGCATTAGCAGTTGCCATTATTGACGACGTTGCACTTCAGATACTTGAAGAAATGGTCAAGCTTATTTGTATCCCTACGCAGGCAGTGGATGCGGTTATATATTTTTTTTTTTTATTTTAAGGATAAAAGGAGGGAAACATTAACAGACATACAACATTTTACAACATATCACAAGCACAATACAGACAATACAGAGTTCCAAACAAAGTGGTAGGGAATTAACAATGGTGGTTGTATTACATATTGATATCTTCAAAGTGGCTTCTCATGAAAACAGATATAGACATGCAATACTGGTCAACCAAAGACTCATTGACAATGGATGCGGTTATAAAAGCCACGCATACGAGGTACTGCAAAAACTGGCAGGTCCTTTGCAGGTTCAATCCAGACAACATACATCCCATTGTCTTTGATCTCGGGATTAACCTAGTCACAAGAGGAACAATCACTTGTCTCTCATACCACTGTTAGTCTTTTAGCTTATCTATGTTTGCATTAATTTTTCAATTAAAATTTTTGGAAAAGGAGGGACAAAGTCATGGGCATTCATGTGTGCTCTCCAGCATATTATAAATCTATTAGTTATCTCAAAGCTAGAGAGAATACACATGTTATTTTTCCTACAAGTAAGTGATCACTCCTGTTACATTCCTGTGTTAGTAGACAGGTGGACATGGAAGACTTTGCTACTTCAGTATAGACACAGCTTTGACAAAGGAACAATGGAGAGACTTGCTTCCACTCTGTCACCAAAGCAACTTTTGCATTTGCTGGAGGCTTGTTACAGATAATCCCTTTGTATTTTCCTTGCTGTCATAGTTCACCATTCATTATTTTTATTGTTGTCGCCTTGCCCTGGGTCTACTGTTTGTAGTGTATCTGTACAGAAATCCTCAGAGATGGTGAGGACCTGCACTTGGTGCTTTAAGGTACACACACTCAAGTCAGGGTTGACCACAGGGTTCAGGAATCTCTCACTCTACCCAGGGCTAGTACCTTCCAGTTTTCCACAAGGACCAACTGCTTTACTTTAAGTTCCTTGGGTTGAAGCTGCTGGAAATTGCACCTCTGAGAGGGCAGGTGCTGGCAGCAGCACTCTATGGTGAGAAATGTACGGTGGCACTGGGGTGGGATGGTGCTTCAGAAAGTGCTGCACAGTGCAAATCAGGGAGCAGGGGGTTCGTCAGCCCTCTGTAGAAGTCTGCAAGGTCAAGACCCCAGAGACCTCAGACCAGTGACAAACCTAATGATTCTGGAAAAGCCACCCGGCTTCTCAAGTTAGTGGCTATAGTCTGGAATAATTATAAACCATGAGCTGCAGAACTTTCACCTACAGAGTAAGAATAACTTTTATTGAAATTTACTGTGTGTGTATTGTTTACTTTCTAGTATATATTTACTTTTGTTGCTTGTTTCATAAAACCAACTTTGCTATAAAAGGTAACATGATAAAAAAAGGAATATATGAATAAGTGGTATGAAAAAATAACAAAGCATTTCAGAAGAGAGTCAAGACTCCTGGGTTTTGGTTCACTGTATTGAAGAAAGTAACTTAAAATTTAGGGGGTTAATGTTCTATCCTCCTGGGTAAAATGTTCTTTGCATAGTAATAAGTTCTATATGTTGGGGATGGTCATCTCCCATGAAAATTGTTAACAATTACAAATGAAAACATGCACTTAGGATGTGAGAAGAGAAATGTATTATTCCTTCTGTGAATTTTTCTGTCATCATGCATTTTTATTTAGGTGATACATTATTTCTGAGAACTTCAGAAAACTGTTTAGCTGAGATCTCTCTACTATTGAAATTGTCCTACTTGAATGGAGATGCAATTTAAGTGTGATAAATTGGAGAATTTACATGCAATAATATGAGTTTTAATTTAGGAACATTAAATAAACAATTTAGTATAAATTTCTACAGATTTTAAACTTTTCTGAAAAAAGATCCAATTCTTTTTTGACATTTTATAATTAGTAGTTGTAAGGAGGTGTTTGTCCCATGGCCTTCTCAGTCTTTTCTGAACAGGCTGCGTGGGGTTCACATATAAAACTGATTTAGTTTTTTTCTTCTTCTTCCTTCTCCCATTACCATTCTAATACTCTGGTGTGAGGGTAAGATAGAAAGACACTGACTGAAAGTTCAGTGCAAGAAACCCAAACTCTTTTGATAAAATAATGTCTTTCTGCAGTTGTTCTGGTTTTTCTCCAGGGAAAATGTGTAAGCACCCACCGCAGGAAGGGGCAAGTCTTGAGTTTGTTGTGGACAGTGCCTGGAAGGTGCTGCCTGTTAGCACAGGAGAATCTCCTCTGAGGATCTGAGAACTCTGCTTTGCTTTATAGCAATCTAGAAGGCAGAACACTGAGCCTAAACATTATTCTTACAAACTCGGGGATTGTCACACATTTCACCAGAGAGGGAGCCTTTTTAATAAAAAAGAAACAAGGGAGCATCAGAATGCTGCTCACCTGGCCAGATATCTTCTCTACGACCTCTAGAAGTTGGCAGTTTTGATCTTTGATCTCCATAGCTTTTGGTTAAAATGTCATCTTGAACTTTTGGCAGTTTATTTGCTTCAGTGATGAAGCTCTCCAGAGGCTCTTTCCAGGAGCGCATAAAGCGGCTTGCCAGGATGATGAAGTCTTTGTACTAATCAGCCAGGGCAAAGTGAAAATATTAAAACATGTGAGGCACGGCCAGTGTAGTTACATGTGACTTTTCCCAGAGAGGTTTAAGTACAATAATTCTTTATTACTACCATGTTCGTATACCATTTTGTGTAGATGATAGATGTAAAAAAATACAAGTTATACCATTGGCCTAAACTTTGTTCCCAGAAAACAAAACAAACACAAAAAACAAGCTTATTGAAATAAATGCTTTTTCTAATAAGATATCATTCAATTTTGTTTTATCTTCGAAATTCCATCTCTTTATATGAACTCAAGTTAGGGCTGCGTTTGTGGCAAGGAATCAGAAGAGAGCTCATATGCAAGAATGGACATCATTCATGTTTGATGTGTCGACTTTGTTCCAGTAGGAACAGTGGCCAGACTTACACCTGTGAAAAACGTGATGCAGTACTGAACAGGACAACACAGTGGGTGACATAGACATAGGAGAAGGCAGGACAGTGAGTAAAGAATTCTATGTTTGAGAAGCAGAAGCAGAACTAGAAGGAGAATGTGGAAAGTCCAGAAGAGATGGAGAGATGGCTCAGATGAGACAGGGGACACGAGGGTAAAAAGTACCAGTGCAGGAGGCAGGAGCACAGGTAACTTGTTGTAAAATGGAATCTATCTGTCTATCTGTCTATCTATCTATCTATCTAGCTAGCTACCATCTATCTATCTATCTATCATCTATCTATCTATCTATCATCTAGCTACCATCTATCTATCTATCACCTATCTGTCTATCTATCTATCTATCTATCATCTATCTACCATCTATCTATCTATCACCTATCTGTCTATCTATCTATCTATCTATCTATCTATCTATCTACCATCTATCTATCTATCTTTTATCATCGATCTATATAGTGTTGGTTAAAATACTGTCATCATCTTTACTTACAATGTGTGAATCTAACTTATTCCTTACAGAACATTTTATTTTACGTATAGTTTTCCACCTACACGGTGTAATTTTACTTTTCTTGCTTGCGTGTCCTCTGTTTTCTCTGCACCTGTGACTATGGTTAGCACCAATCACAATCACAGCGTGCCGTGGGCCATACAGGGGCAACAAACCCAGAGCCCCCTGTGCTTTCCCTATTGGGCTGGGTGAGGCACTCACACGTACGTTCTTCACCTCCTCATGAATGCCTGGTATGGTGATGGCATCTGTGTGGCACCCATTGGCATCAGGAATAAGGTACATGGGACCCTTGGAAAACCTGGTTTCCTAAAAGAATGAAGAAAATTCAATTAATTGAATTTGAGAAATTGAAAAAAACATAACTGATGTGTAATTCGTTAAAAGTGAGAGCTACATCGAAACTGAAACTAAAGATTTTAGAAAGTTACCTTTTTGCTTATTTTCAGTTCTGCAATCTCAACTAACTTTTCTGACCTCCCAAACTCTTCGTTATGCCATTGTTTTCTCACTCTTCCTATGAGGCAAATTTTGCATCACAAACAGTAAAAGCATAAAACTGTGTGTTTAGCATCATTTTCTCTAGCATTTGAACCAAAAGCCACCATACATATGCGTCTATATTTACCTATTTAATCTTTTGTTTCTTCAGGATTCAAATGATATAATTTCCTTAAATAGATATTATAGATTATAACTCATCTTTGAATTATCTCTTAGTCCACATACTTGTATCTTACCAATTCCTCAAAAATACAAAGTGCAAACTTTATTCTGATAAAATGAGTCAAAAAAAGCAAAACATTGAGCACGCTTTAACTAATGGATTGATACTCAATACAAAAGATAAAAGAGAAACAAAGGAAAGAGAGGCAGCAAGGGGAGGCTCTTGCAGATGGGAAGGAGTCCAGGGGGCCCAGGGGTGGGGAGCAGATGGGAAATGGGCAGAGTGAAGAGGGCGAGGGCGAGCGGCATGGAGGGGGTTTAAGAAAAGAATCAAGCTGTGTTGCATACATGTACCAACTCCCCACGTGACTATAAAGTGCATGGACTGCGAACACGCATTAATAAAACAAACATCTGAAAAAGATACATAGAATAGTGCCCAGCAGTTGTCAAAGTCTAAGAGTTTACTGGGAAGATTTGGTAAACAAAAGATGGCCAAGAACGTGGGGAATGAGTGAAACGGGAGGGAAAAGAGGCAGTCAATATGCACGTATTGCAAGGGTGGGCCATGGTTCTGTGGAGGCCGTGTGTTGTGCTCAGACCTGCTGCTGCTGCCTCGCTGACCCAGAGGACTCAGACCCTGTGCCAAGCAGCCTCGTCAGGAAGACAACCTGTTTCTACCTCTCAGCTGCTCTCTTCCTGTAAGCAGTAACTCTTACACTGGAGATTTTAGATCTGTGGTTCCCTACATATTCTGGTTTATGAAAGCTATTACCTCTATTTCTTTCCTTGCTGATATGAAATTAGTTCATTTAATTATATTTGCTCCACCCAATTCACTGCAGTACAGCTTTCCTGCCTGGACATCTGCAGTGTGCTTAGTGAAGGAAGCCCAGGGCCTGGTCCCTGTCCAGAGGAGCAAGAGCTCAGCACACTTCCTCAGCTGCACCTGGAGGGGATTTAGTCAGATACCTACGTATTTAAGAATAAAATGAAACAAAACTTTTAAAAAATTATTACATTCTCTGATTTGTGTATTTCATGAAACTTCTTTCTCACTTTTTGGTTTTTATTGCTTAATGGCTTCTCTAATCCAGTAAGTTCTGTTATTAGAAGTTTGGCTAATGAGGTTTTCATGTTTACATTGTGCTGCCTGCCAATCCTGAAAGCTTCTTTGGGGAAGTGAGGGAAAGAATACTTACAAATTCCTCCAGCAGCTGTGAAGACTTATCGTGGGTGGAAGAAGACGGGGTGATAGCTCGGTCAAAGAGCCCTGACAGGGGCTGCTGGCAGCCAGAGCCCTTGGGGCAGCTGGGCTGGGAGGCCACGTCCCTGCACAGGAGCGGGGTGACCAGCAGCAGCAGAAGCGGTCCTTCTGAAACCAAAACACAAGCCTCTCTGAGACGACCTGCTCAGCGAAAGTCATCCACAGCAATCTGACTCTGAAGGGCTGTCCTTGCAGCTGGCCCTGATGCACGCTTTGGTGCTGTGGTGGTGGGGGCGGGGCAGGCTCGGCAAGGGTCGCGGTGCGCGCGTAGGCATCCAGTTACGCTCACAGGAACAGCCTTTGGAAAGCGGGTGATCCACACACTTTGTATTGACTGCAGAAGTGTTTTTGCACTTTACAAACATTTGGAAATTAAGTTACTTCTGATCTGGGATGGTACAATCATTCTCTTAATATTACTGAATGTCTTGACAATTTCTGTGGATTTAAACAGTCAGACTCTCCAAGAGTTTGAAATGTTTGACTGCAATGTACTACCCAATATTTGCATTTTGGATACTGATATGACAGGAACACCATGTTTATTTGTTGAAATATCTTCATGTTAGAAAAAAAAAATGTAAGTATGAAGATATTTCTAACCTTAAAAATGTCGTGGCCTGTATTGATAACTCACCACTAGTATCCTATGCATTTATTTGCTTGAGACTTTGCCTAAAGTTTATATACTTTCCTAAATTTGAGCATTAAAATAACCCTGGAGACAGGCCGAGCCCTTGTAATTATCATCAAATTATACTGGTGAGAAAGAACCCTTAGAGTGGCTGAGTTTCCCTAAGCTCTGCTATGTTAGCAGGTGGGGGAGGGAGAACGCCGGTGCTGTGGTCCTTGCCCCTCCCCTCGTCACACCTTGCGCACCTGTGGGTTCCCAGGCTGCATGAGCAGGAGAGGCGACATCAGTAGCCGTGGGGGACCATCTATGTGGAGGTTATGTCGTTTATCATCTGCAAAGAGCACTTTGCTTTTCATTGTTGTATAACAGGGACCCTTGAAACTTGATTTTATCCACTTTCTCCGTTCTATATAGTACTTCAAAATCTTTGATTGTGATCACAGGTGGTTCTATCAAATTGCTATTTCTGTAAATGAAAACACACAGGCCTCTCAGCTGTCAGTAATTTATACTTGCAAAATGAAAGAAACAACATGTATCTACCAAATTAAAATTACCTTTTAGTTTGTGACACCGTATTTTCAAAAGATATTCTGATTTAAACATGTAATAATCAGAACAGGTTCCATACAACTTTTGACAAATGATTTGGAAACCTCTAAGATAAAACTATACACATATTAAAGATTTCTATATGAATAATATCTAAAAACAACTACTGTAGTTAAGTAAATATACCTAAATTATTTTTAGATATTTAGGTGCAAGGGCACTAAATACCTATATATTTGCAAAATTCAGATCAGATAAACTCATTCATATTATAAACTTTTATATTTCCAAAATTATAATGGTTCTAAAAATTAAATTTATGCATGTTATAGTAACAGAACATAATTAAATGAATATTTTGTACATATTTGTAAAAGAAATATTCTTTGCAGATGGAAAAACAGATGCCAGCTCTAGAAAATTCATAACCCTACAGACTGTGTGAATGATGACCACATTATCTGCACATCTGCCAGCTTAGGGATCTTTACAGCCTATGAACTGTGGCAGTGAGTCTGTTGGAGATTTCTGTGGTGTAAACGACTTGCCATGGCATGGGTGATGTGGGTTCACCACCCCTGGGCTGTGGTGAGATGAAATAAATGTTTTGCACTTTATATCTCAACAATTTTATGGTTGTTACTAGTTTATTTTTCTTACATACATCACTTAGAAATAAAGGCAGTTAGTAAGTCTGAATTTGATTTTCCTTTTGAAAGGCATTTGGCTCGAACCAACCTGGCAAAGCCGTATGAAACACATACTTGTTATCATTTTCTGCACTGCGGCTTCAGAACCAAAAGCTTCGTTACGCTGACTCAGCTCGTCTAACTTACGGAATAGACCTGAGATCCAGGAAGTGTTAGTTTCTGCCTTCCGGAGATTGAAGAAGCGGATGGATGGACTCCTCTTCTCTTTTTCAGTGTAGAATCTAGCATCACTGCCTTTTGAGCCAGACAACGTTTTGTTGTGACATCTGTTCTGTGCTTTAGAGAATGCTTAGCAGCGCTGTCCTCAGCCATTGGATCCCAGAAGCACCCTCCCTGCTCCACTGCACATAAGTTAAGACAAGGCAAAAGGGCTCCAGCCACTGCTGAACTTCTAGAACACGGACCCTCCATCAGCTGAGGGCCTATGGATGATGCTGTGATTCCCTGTGCAACTGCTTTCTAGAGTAATATTTAGACAGTTTTTCTAAAACCTACCATCCTGTAACCTCTTGTGATTAGCAAAAATTTCCTATTGGTCCACACAAGTGCCAACAGCTCACTGAGTGATTACACGTACCCATCCCCTTGGCAGCCATGGTAGTGATCAGGACAGGAAGCACACTTCAGTGGAGCAGGCCTGGCGGTCCCCGGTCCACGTTCAGATGTTGGTTCATAAACCTTTGACACATTCATGAATGCATTTAATTAGGCACTGTCTTCCCTCTTCCCAGTCCTCCATGTCCATTATTGGAATACACCCCTATATTGTACAACGTCTCTTAAAGATACATTGACCAGAAATGGATTTCGATTAGTTTGAAGAAAAGGAAATGGTAGAAATCATGGAGGTGAGCTCTGAAGACCAGTTTGGGTTAGAGAATCCACAAGGTTATTGAAGTTACTTACTTTAAACTTTACTTTTATCACTGAAGTTTCTTATAATATATAGAATTTAATTTAGGAAATACTTTAATGTTCTATAAATTATAAAATTTCTCATTTATGGTTGCTAAGTGAACTATACATTTCAGAATGTATACACTAAATACCAAGAGTTATAAAATAAGTACAGAAAAACTAGGATTTCAGTTCCCTGGTACACACTGATTGATTTCCCTAATTTTGTCCTTAGCTTTTCACACTCTATTTTGTCTCCTTTAAAGTGACATGTGCAAATGGCACCATATTTTAATGCTTATTTTATCCACTTATTGCTTGAATTCACCCTGTAGATGAATTTATATTATTACTTCCAGCTTACAGATAAGGAAACAGGGTTGGAGAAACTAACTACAAATGTATGGAAGTAATTTTCCTCGGGCTGGACAAATAGCTCAGCAGCACAGTGCCTACCTGGCAAGCACAAGGTCCTGAGTTTGATTCCTGGTACCAAAAAATAAAAAAAGTAATTTTCCCATAGTTAAGTTAGAAGCAGGAAGGAATATTGCTTTAAGAGGAACAAGAATGAATATCAATAATGTAGGAAAATGAATGATTTAACACATACCAATGTGTGCTCATGTGTAAGTACAAGACATTACCACTGACTGCCTAGGGTTTCAGGGCAGGGGAAAAGCAGCCGTGACTGAGTCCCGGAAGACACACATGCATGCACATGCAATATGGACGATGGAGTAAACAGAAATTCTGGCCAATTATTTGTACTCTCCACAAAGATAGAGGTGGGTAAACTATAACTAACTTGGCAATCAATTACATTGCGTGACCTAAATTACTCTGGGAAAATGTTACAAAGTTCATCTTTACTGGACTCAAAAGTTCCATTCCCCTCTTGGAGATTTTCTAAATGACTTAATGAATAATTATAAAGTTGTTGGTCACTTTCCTTAACTTTTATGTCCCTGTATCCAAAGCAGACTGTGATTTTAATTTTAATTTCACTGTCCTAAAAGTAGATGGACAGAAGAAATAATTAAAAATGGTCACTTCCAATGGCGTTTCCTCTTTCCCGTACTTTTTAGTAGGCCTTGTGGGGCTTAGTCATGCTCTCACTGGAAAATTTAAGCAACATTCACGTTTCAGAGATGATCTTCTGATTACCGTGGTTAAGCAGTGCTAGAATTTGAATCATAAACATCAAGTGTGATGATTCATTTGTTCTGTCAAGCTACAACTTTGGACAAGCTTCTATACACTTGTACTTTTTCCTTGGGCGGTGAAAGTCTGAATTATTGAGAAAGCAGGGCTGCATTGCGGAGAGATTAAAGCTACATTGTATCCCTCCTCAACCCAAAACTTAAACATAAGAAAATTTGCCATGGAAACTGACATGAACAATTATTTTCTAAACTTTAAAAGTGTTATAACTTTTCAGAAGGCAGGAAAACAAGATGTAAGAACCCTAAGTTGTGAATGTGTGCTGGAGTCCAGATTACAGAGGGCTGTGTGTCTCAGCACAACTCAGGACAGGAGCTGCTGTGCTACCTGAAGGCCCCTCATTTTGTGTGAGAAGAGTATTCTGATATCTTAGTAAACCAAATGGCATATTGAACGAAAAAAGTCGTGTTATCTTATTTTTCTACTATGTATGTCACCACTTTCAATGTAATACTTGCACTTGTTCTCTGGCAGACCTTTCTCTTTACAAGCTATGCTCATAAATTAGAGTAAGGAACTTCACTAAGAACTTTTGTCACCTTTTAAGTAGGAAAATCGATTTGTTTACCATGTTTCATCTGAGGGATTGTGATTCAACTAAGACCTTATAACTGATTTGTGGAATGCAGCTGAATAAAAGCTCAAATGACATTGAATTTCTTATGCTATAGTTTACACACAAAACAAATAAGCAGTTCTGCATTCTTTGACTATCCAGTTCTACTTTTATATTAAATTCATACAATTGGTTTTTATTCAGATTTCAGAATGCAGCTTGTATTTTATTTATACTTTTATTTACTTACTTTTAAGTCACATAATATTAATTTTTCTCTGTCATTTGTGACACAAGACATATGTCAAAAGCATCACTAATATGAAATTTTGTAATGTAAGATACACCATATTTTTAAAGGTTGAAATTAACCAAAAGTTAAAAAAATCTTCAAAGAATGGTTACACAGAATATTTTATTTATACTAGTCATGAATTATTTTAATGAAATAAAATTGACAAATGATGAAAGTTATTCTGCTTATGGATTTAAAAATTCCAAGTAATCATCTTCTTGAATTTCAGTTGAAAATCCAAATAGAATATATATCATTTTAAATATAACTTTTGAAAAATGGTAAAAGTAAAACATTGGTGAAAGCATCATTTGTGTATTACTG